ATTGGTATAAGTCAAGAAATGAGAGAATTATTATTCAGGATTTGCATGTATGAGAATTTCAAGGGGAGCTTGCAGAGTGGGAGAAAGATGTGAGAACTGTCAGATCAACACAGAAAGCATCCTGGAACATTTTCTGGCGCAAGCTATAGCTTCTCTTTAAAAGTGACATGAAAATCCATGTAATAAGCAAATATTCACGAATCCTCACTTGGATTGGGCAACACACTCTGTGCGTATGTGTGTGCGCGCGCGCGTGCTGGTATGCATGTGGCTATGGACAGAGCTCTTGTGGGAACTGAAGGATGCTTGGAGAACCTGCCTAAAATAACTGATTTTGGGGAAGTCAGGATCTGTACTCTATTTTAAAGCAAACTTCCCCAATCTGATGCCCTCCAAATGTGTTGGACTTCAACAAATTCAAGAATCCCCTAGCTGGGACTATAGCTTGCCATACTAACTGGGTATCCTGGGAAGTTAAATCTAGTACATGTGAAGGGCACAAGGTTAGAAAAGCCTGTTTTAGAGTTTAAAAGTGCTTCAGATGCAGTAGCTTATATCTTTCCCAGCAAATCCTGATTAGGCAGCAGTGTGTGTATTAGGGTTGTCAAGGGTTCTCTTTTCCATGGCACCATCACTTTGTCTGAAAGAATGCCTAGTTCAAGTTTAGTTGAAAGACAAAGAATCCTAAGGTGATGCCTTGAATTTAATCATCCAAAATGAGCATCTGGTTTGCTGGCTGAACAAGAACACAGCCTGGATAAAGAGGTGGAGGGAATGTTTGTCATATCTGCAGATGGGTGGAGTAACTCACACACTAGAAGACAGAACTCAATTTCACAACACTTCGATTGCTTAGAGAAATGGGGAGAAAGTAGCAAAATGAATTCTAACAGGGACAAATGCAGGTTCTTCACTGAGGAAAGCAAAGTCTTTAGTGTTCTGTAAGGGGAGTGGGGCATGTGGCTTTGTAATGATACTTGTGAAAAAGATCTCAGAGCACACAGGGATGTTTGTGTAGTTCCTCTTCACAACTTCTTACAGAATCCATGTTTTCCTGGGATCCTGTGGCTCCTGGGAAGAATGAATTGGTCCGAGGGAGGCTTCCTGGGCATTCCCCTCATGACATCCTCTGAAACACCTTTTCCTCTTCAGATCCAGATTGTTGAATAGCCCAATTGATTACCAACTTAATATGAGTTAGCAGCGTGATTTAGCTACAAATGAAGGCAACACAGAATTCAGACTTCATCAACAGCAATATAGTTTCCCAATCACAGGCAGTTATATTTTCATTTTATTCTGCTTTCATCAGACCTCATGTCTGGTACTGTGTGGTTCTGTGCCTTACACCAAGAAGGATTCAGAGAAAGTAGGACAGCTTCAGAGAAGGGCAGTAACCATGACCAGGGAACTAGAAATGAAGTGAAGAGAGATTGAGGGAGCTGGATATGCTAAGCCTTGAGCAGAGAAGACTAAGAGGGGAACAGAAAGCATTCTTTACATAGCTGAAAGCAAAGGATGTCACACAGAAGAAAATTAAGACCTGTTCTCTCTTGTTGCAGAGTGCAGGACATGGAATAAGAGATTTCAATTACAAGACAGCCTACCATTGTGAATAAGTTCACCATGGAATTAATTACCCGGGGGGTGGTCGGCTCCCTTCTTTAGATGTGTTCAAACAAAGACTAGACAGCTATGTGTCTGGGGGGCTTTAATTTGGAGCCAGGGGAGAGGGAATTGATGGCCCTTTCCAACGATGAGGCTATGAGTCTAAGCTGGCCAGTATTCCCCATTCTGATGGGATGACTGTGCTTCTATGCATTATATAATACTTATTTCCAATTTGCTTTTAAACGTATGAATGGGCATATTCCTATTTTATATACATCTGCATAAGCATCTTTGAGGTGGGGGCCATCTATTAAGCAGTCACCTTATTATTTCTATTTTGTGCTTAGGGGCTGGGAGCCGGCAGCTGGCCTGAGGCTATCCATTGACAAATTTTTAATTGAGTTTTGTCTCCTTATGTACACTGGAAAAAATGATTGCCCTGGGATGGAGGATGATATTTATGCAAGATCCCATTATAACTAGCTGTAAAACTCAGGGATTGGCAGAAGGATCTGGTGTCTCCAGGGTTAAAGGGGAGGGATGGGCCCCACGAGTCCTGGCGTGAGGGAAGCCACGAGCCAAGCACCTGGGGGCGCGTGTCAGGGCCAGCTCCCTCCGCACCCGCAAAGCGGTCGAGCTGCATTCCACGGTCTTCCCCACCCAACCCAACCAACTGCCTGAGGGAAGGAATATCCATGAAGGCGGGCAGGCCTTCGTTGGTGCACTAGGACTAGCCTCGCCCAGTGCCTGGCACGCCTCATCCTGTCCCGGCATTTTATAGCCAAGGAGGGAAACCTCGTGGGTGAAGGTGAGGAGAACTCAGAATGCCTGGGCTTCTAATTGGGCTCTGTACAGGACCGCTGGGGTGCAGCAAATTGAAGCTCAGCTGGGGGAGCAGGCAGAGGAAAGGCTGAATAGGAAGAAAAACCTGGGATGTGCCCAAATTGGCTCACTCACTCAAGCTTACCTGTTTTTCTTCAGCCCCCCTGCAACTACTTCAAAATCAGCCTTCCCCATATTGGTGCTCTTGAAAGCTTATGGACTTCTATTCCCATAATCCCCCAGTCAGGATGGGACTAGAAGCCCATCTGAGAGTGCAAAGTCTGGGAAGTCTAAGTTAAGCAGACAAAATAAGAACTGGAAATGGCCAGCAATGAAGGACACTTGCTTACTCGGCTGATCAGAATTGCTAATTTCTTTTGTTTACTGGATGCAGCTCCTCTAACATTAGCAGTCATACACAGCTGACATTGTTCAAGTGGCGTTCAACCAAGGCCCACCCAAATGGTAGCCTGTCCTGAACGACTCCAGATATTTTTTAAGAAGGGAGTAAGATTGTTCTTGCTTTCTATGTCCAAATGTGTGCCTGCCTACAATCACCAGGAAGGTAATGCATAAATGTAGCTATGCAGCTAAATCTCAGAGGATTGAAGCATCGTCTTGTCATGCAGATGTCTAGGATAAAATCTAGCACTTAGTTATGAGAATTGGGCCTTCTTTGAACACATTCAGTGCATTTGAGGATGCCCACTTACCTGTAGTGGATTGTGGAGATAGCTTTGAAGAAGGAATGCAAGAACTGCTAAGTAAATGTCAACTGGGAAAGAAGAGTGGGTGAGAAAGAAACTCAAGATAACCCCACTTTGATATGCCCTACAATGAGGGGGCAGAGGGAAACTGACAGGCTTTCAAGCTTATGTTATAATACCGTACAACAGCAAAATAGAGTTCCAGTAGTCCTTGCATTGTCTGTTCCCTGACCTGGCCTATCTCAAGGAGCTGAGAGTACCCTTTCCCCCCAGTATAGTTGTCCAGGGATACTAAAGAGAGTAG